GCGCCCCTCTAACGTGATATGCAAAAGCAGCGGCTCGCGATGGCGGCGCTCCCCCGCTGCAAACCTTGACCTTTCCACTAAAATGGTCAGAAGAGAAGTGTAGCGGCGCCGAGACAGCGGAAAAAGCGGCGACTCAGAGCAGTATTCCCGATGTGGGAAGTTTGTTTTGCTTGGCATGGATTTGAGAAATCGGCAAGCATCGTTTCCCTGTTATCGTTTCTTTTCGTCTGATCGAGCAAAGTATCTGTTCTGGAAACTCTTGAGTCTCACGCGAGGACCTTCCACGGAGGTTTCCTGTATTTTAGTATGGGAAGCGGCACGGAACCCCGGACAGACCGGGACATTGCTGAGAAGGACCGGACGGAAGATTTATCTGTATATCAAACAAAACAATATTCGTGGTCTTCTGTTCCGTGGAAACGAAATTCAGCATGGGCTCTCTGCGCGATGTCATGATTTTTTTCTGATCGCTGTTTCGTTATGGAGTTCTGGAGACCCTCCTGCGTCATCTGTGACGTGATCGACGTTCTGCGCGGGCGTCATCTCTCGTAGGAGACTGTGCGAGACACGCGAGTTCGGCTGTGGCTCCCGTTCAAACGAGTAAGGTTTGGTCTGGTTTGATTGTCTGTTCGCCCAAGCCCTCGAAGGACGCTAACAGCTTTAGTAAGGTTTTTGTTTTCAAACCATCCGTCAACTGTCCGATCGGTCGAATCGTCGATTCGCCGGGCTTGACGTAGCCGTTCGATTCCGCCAGGAGGTGCTGCTGCTGCGAGTAGCTCCGGCCGATCGCGCGAAAGCTACAGCAGGTGTCGTTCCAACTTATATTTTTTTTCGCTGAGTATGCGCTCCATGATTACGCTCGACGTGTGTGAAAGACGAACATGTAGGTCTATCAGCCTGTGGTGACATCGAGAGGGAACGTCCGTGAGAGTTCTCCATAATGTTCGATCGATGTCACGTGAAGTGAATTCTACGCTTTTAGCGGAAGAAACTTCTTCGGAGCATCGTGGCTTGATCGGCTGTTGTTGCTCGGGAGGGTTTCTGCGGAGCATCCTGTCGGGAAAGATGTGAGTGTCACGTTTGTCTGCCGGTGTCGCTAATTCTCTGTCGCTACAGCAGCCGGTGGGGAGCATGTTCATTGTCAGTCTCGCTACCTACTCTCCCCTCCCGTTGTATGGGGGGAATACCCGAACATAGCCAGAATGTCTCGCTCTTCTCCTTCAAGTTGATCTGTTGGTGGGCTACTCCGCTGGAGCAAAAGACGGAAATTTGAGACTCTCCGATTCTCAGAACCACTCTTCTGTTCCTCGAATTCAATAGCCAGTCTAGTGCTCGAAGGAAAACGCCGACCAATTAGCAGTTGCTCGCATTCGGGAGGCTCTCCCAGGGAGACACGCATACCGACTAAGGGGAAGCCGCGCCAGCGTCGATCATCGAATTTCCACGTTGGACTCGAATGGTCTTTCGTCATTATAATCGCTTTTGCGCACCCTAGGAGGACGCGGAGAGTCCGTTCCGGGGAAACTTTGATAGTCCATCGGAGCGTCAGAAACTCGTTCGATTTCAAGGAAACCATCTTGTTTCGATTAGGATAGACTATACGATCGCTCGATTGAATCGGCTCGCTCTTTGATGGTGGCTCATTGCTCATCCCGAGCCCTGAGATCGAGGAGGATGAGGACACCATCGGGTTAGAATGAGTTGCGTAACGTAGTCTGTTTAGATGCATATCGCTAGGCTTTGACGGAGGCTCAATCGATGCGGAAAGAACAGGCTGCTCCTGCTCAGGCGGCCCGCTCATTGCCTACCGGACGGGTCGGCGGCGTAAAATTGCTGTAAATGCCGTCGCGAAGAGGCGATGCTGCGAATACCCGCTTTTCTTGCATCCGACACCCTCGCTACAGCTCGGAGTTCTGTGCCGTGGGAGGGACGAGCTCCCAGATAGAGCAGAAGTAAGTTTCCCTTCGACCAGAATCGTCGGGGACTTGTGCATCGAGTTTTTATAGTCGTTCCCCTCTATCCGTGGGGACGCATCATCATGAGCGAAAGCATCATACGCGAGTCATACGAACGACGGTCAGCCCTCCGAGGAAGGATGGAGATTAGAACGTACGGCGATGAACAGACGCTCATCACTTCGGGATCCGATCTCGTCCGTGACAGACCTTCTCCGCCTCTGGCATCAGCATGATTGTTCGGCTCGGTTCTCCGAGCACGGGCTCCATCTTTCCGACGCTACGTACACCGAGAAGCAAGTCCTCGCAGCCGTTTGTTCCTGCGTGCGATACTCGACGGGTCGCTCGCCACCTAGACGGTAAGGAATCCAAGGATTCGAGCACGCGCGCATTCCACACCATGGATCTTCTTCGACGTCAGCATTATTACTCCTGATTGATAAATCTCTTGGGAATTACCCGCTCCATCCCTGAGGAAAGAAAACTCCATCGAACCGATTGCTGATTCCAACGAGAATTCAGGTACATAATCTAGATTCCGTGCGCAACATCTCTTACAACAGAGCAGGAATTGGGATCGAATCGCCGAACTCGTCCTCTGTCAGGCAGCTCCTGGCCGGGAATGGCGCTGCTCGAGCCGGCCGGTCACGTTTGGAGATCAGAAATAGAGATCGATCGCGACGATCGAGTCTCCTCTTCGTCGCATGTCGAGTTGTGCCCCGAGTGGAATCAACTCATTATCGCTCCCACTTCAAATTTCACTCGGGGAGTTCCTGTCCAGTCGGATGGAAACGGTTTCCCCTGAGTAGGCTATTATAGTACTTCCGATTCGCAGCATCGCCCTGAGGCTATCGGCACATTCCATCTGCGCGTATGTTGAAATATAGAGAACTCTCTCAATCGTGCCACGTATCCCACGAGTATTCCTGGCGGAAACGCGAACCCCATCGAATGCCCCGAGCGAGGAGCTTTGGTATCGGATCACAGGATTCTGCCTCGCGGATGGAATGTAGAACTCTTTCGAATTCTACCCTAAAACGAAGAACGTTGCGGGCCAAGGCTCTGTGAACGACTTCGAATCGTTCATCCAGGAATCAAAAAGTTCGCTCCTAAAGCGACCGAACTTCGATGGAGGCGACCGGAATTCCTCGTCGCGTCGAAACTCGTTGCGCATAATCTCGAGCGTCGTCTGAGGATCGCAGAGCAGGACGGCAATATCATCGAATGGAGAAAAACTCGCCTTCTGGAGCTCGTATGGGTGGGAGGAAGAGACTCATTAGCGGATACATTTGATACACATTCGAAAAGCGCTCGCTAAGCGCTGGCGCAATAATCACCACACAGAGCAGCCCCTCGTCAGAGTTTTCATGAAGGTCGGCATGGAGTCACAAATGAGATCGGATGTGGAGCAACAAAGTATTCGTGCATGCGAGAGCCGAGTCGCTCAACAGCGCTCACTCAACAGCGAGGAATGCTTAACAAAACAATGCGTGCGAAGCTCGACTCATCGCGGCGCGCGCTACGTCTCGCTAAAGGCTCACTACGTTACGTCGGCGGTGCGTTCACCTCAAGAGACGAGAAAGTTCCCTCGCGGACTCAAATCACTGTCGGGTTTTCCCTTCACAAGAACGACGATCGTACTATGGAAGAAAGCACACGTTGAGACTACGTAGTCAATCGGGGAGCTTTCTTCTCTCGCAGAGAAACTCCGGGATTCACTCCCGATGCGCTCTTTCTCCGCCCAGAAACTGCGACGCGTGGGAAAATCGGCAGATGGCCGAACTGCTGTTCGAAGTGACGCAGTCGAGGCTCCTCGAGACTCCGAAAGCCTTCGCGAGACGAATTTCACAACTGAGCGTTAGGTCCGTCGGTCAACAGCGCATCCAGGCCCCCGTATCGAGTTGGCCGTCTCCGTCGTCGTACGCGTACGTGCGAGTGAAGCTCTCTCGCGATTCCTCCAACAAGGAAACGGATAACGGAGAAGATCCAACGCGAGAGCGTGACCAAACATGAGACTACGGGTAACCTTAGACGAAAAGAACTTGCTCGCAAAAAGCCTCAACAATGAGGATGGTCTTGACGAGGTGCGAGAGGAAAAAACTAAGACCCTACGTCAGAACGTCGGCGTCGAGGGTAAATTACAGAAATCACTAAAGCGGACGGCGAGCTTTGTTTCGCTCCGTATTCAATTACGAGCCGACGTCGTCTGGCGGAGATTGTTCCTTCTCTTGAGATCCAAAGTCGAATCCTCGTGGAAATCCAGAACGAATACATACATGGCTTCTTTGAGAACCTGCGAGGGAGAGCTCTCCTCCGCCTCGATGGAATCTCACCGGGGGCCCGGACCCAGGGGCTTTCTTGGCACATCGCCCTGCGAGACGCCCGAGTGTGAACTCTGAGTCCTCTGCAAATTGAGTCGCGTGTCGGCTCGATAATGTAATCAGAGCTAAAAAAGAAACGCCTCGACCGAACTCGTTTTATCCATAAATGTGTGCTCTCTCTCGTCGTGTGAGAGCCGAGAAGAGACAAAGGAAGTTGGGAATGCACTCTCCGGGCGCGGAAAGCGCGAGGACGGGGCGGATGCACCGCGAATCGTTCCGAACTCGACTCGCTCGCTCGACGGGGAAGAAAGTGCGAAACGTTGAAAACCGTCTACGAGCCCTGGCTCTGGTTCGCGATGCAGAGTTCCGGCCTCCGAGCCATCCGCTGAATAAACACGAACACTTATACGCATATACGAGATCGAGGAAACAAATCAATCTTGTTAAGCGGAATGCGATATGCGGTCTGTACAAGTGGCTGTCTGTCGTCCCTCTACTGTATACGGAGGCTGGCTGGCTGCTTGCCTAGCCGGTCGACTGCTCGCTCCGTCAGACGAACGACATGTAGCGGGAGAATAATGTGTCAGTCACGTCAAGTATATTTCCCGCTGTCGAATGACTTGCGTGTCGTGTGTTTCGATCCCTCGATTCCGTCGTGACTGAGGGCCAGACCATGTGCGTACGCAGCTAGTGTTTCGAGCAGACTCCAGATAAAGTACAGGCCATGAGTGACCGGTGAGCTGACGAGCCTCGCCGGAACACGGGACAGGGCAACGAGGAGCTTCAGCCGTTCGCATACGACCGGAGTTCGGATCCCTCGATTTGGAAATCAAAAGGGGAACGATCCAGCTGCAGGACGGCTGCGCATCGCTCGAGAAATCGAAATAATTCCGGATTGACTAAAACACGGGGCATTTCTTTCGTTTCAGATCTCGAACGTGCGATGAAGGTCACGCAGGGAATGGCGAAAACGCCGTTTTGCCGGGATCGCCGGGACCTCCCAGGTGTCGTATCGGTAACCCATCGTGTTGTTGTGTCACCGAATACCGCACCTGGGACGACGACTGTCCTCTCTGTCAAGCCCTTCGCGAAGAGCACGTTCAGGACGAGTACACGCAGAGTATGTACCCTCTTGTAGTTAGTCGTTTGTCATTAGAAGTAATTACTCTCAGCTCAAACAGGCAGCCCCGCCCCCCCCTCCATCGACTGTTGTTGCTTCTGCTGCTGCCGCGGCCAGTTTTTTCCCTCCCGCTGATGAGGTCCTTGTGTAAAACAGCTCCAGAGCCCGATACGTGTTAGAATCTCGCGTCTGCACAATCAATCGCCGTATCGGATTATCCAAAGCCCCGGAGGCTGAAGCGGAGACACTGAGTGGAAGACGTTTTCGATTTCCTAAGAATTTTCTGTTCTCATTTGCAGTTTTAAACAGTGAGATGAGCGTGATGATCGAGGCGGTGTACGGCTTAAGTAGTCTTGTAGAGCAGAAGCTCAAGGAAAAACAGAAAACGCGACAGGATATCTGGAAACGAGAAGGCACGTTCGGCATCTTCGTCACCAAGGGCGAAGACGGCAGAAGAAGGATCGTGGTCAGGGATGGTTGGACTTCGTACCACATCGATGGTGAGTCTGCAATGCCGGACGTGCTCGCGGGTTAGTATCTGTTGAAATGTTTTAACTACGGAAGCACCAGTAGTGGTAGTCGCCCCCCACACTGCCAGGGGAACTCCTCACCGTCGAGACGACATGCGCGTTCTCAGGTGCTTCCCGTAGTTTTAGAAATTCCTCTTCTTCCGGAGGGCCCTCGAGGGCGGGAGAATTCATGAGAACGCCTGGTGAGCAATGTGGGACGCGGAGGAGAATGACGGATTTTCCCCTGTGCTCTGGGGAGAAGCCTCTGGGAATGTCCCGGGACCTTCCGCAAATTTCACATCGTGGCCGTCGGTGTTTGGATTCGGAACGCACGGCAGCTTTCCGTGCGGATGATTACAAAACTTAGCGAGAAAGTAATCCACTCGAGATTTTCGAGATCATTACTCAGGTCCTCATTGGGTTTTTCTCCGCCCTCCGCCGAGAGCAATTCCGAGACCTTTGGGGAGCTTCCCGCGCGCACCGAACTTGTCTGCCGCGCGTGGGAAGTGATCTAGGCAGAAACTGCAAGCGAGGGACATTGTCCCGTTGCACATTAAATGCTCACAATACTCGACGGAGTCCACTCGGACAGCGGGAAACTGGGACGGGCAATCCCAATGGATAAAAACTCCCTGTCTAAAAGTTCTTCGCCAGAGAGAGAAGCTTGTCAAGAGCTCAAGCGCTCTGCATCTTGGGGAGACGAGACGACGCGTTCGTGCCAGTTACAGAACCACCCGCTTTGAACCGCGGGTGGTGAACTTCGATGCTTCGAAAGTCTCGAAGGACCTGCAATATGCCGCGAGTCTACTCATGGAATGTGGATTAGCTGTGCAAGGATGAGGACGAGCGAGCTTGTTGCAGAGCCCTGTGAGTGAATAAGACATGCGGGGAGCAGAGTTCGGAAAGCGGAGCGCCAGCGCTCGGTGGAGGGGCTCGATGATGACGAGACGAGGAAGACGCCAATGATCAGACGGAGATCTCACCGTCTCGCTACCGTTACGAAAGCGTGTGTTCACTCGCCCCGTGCACTATCCGATAGAGCGTGCTGCTGCTGCTTGTTCCATCGAGTTCGCTGAAGTCGCCTCCTCCTTGACGGACGAATGGATGGATGGATGGGCAGACTGAAGAGATCGGAGAAGAAATGCGATTGAATACCACGGAGAACGAAACAGAGCCGGAAACGAAATAGCCAAACGGCGGAAGTGGAGCGTGAGGAATAAATATACGGAGCCAAATTGTTTGCCGCCCTTCTGCGAGGAACCCATATCTCAGTGAGACGGGCCTGAATACAGCGCGGAGTAATCTATAGCCCGTCGCAGGCATCTACTGGGTCTAGTGTTTGGCGCCAGTGACATCATTTCCGCCCTGGGGAAGAGAAAAACAGAAAAGACACCTACTACCTAAGAGAGCGTTCCGCGATGCGAGTTCGATGCAAGACGGCGAATAAGAGACAGGGAGAAACAAAAAGGCGAGAGGGATTGGCGGAGATTGCGTTGATCCCGGGCCACGAGTGGGAGATCCTGGTCTACGAGGCACCGACGACGAGCACCACCGTCACCGCGAGAAAATCGTCAATGTGAGCGAGCGCGACAAGGAACCACACGAGGATCAGAGGTAACGCGGCGGCGCGCAGCTATTCTCGCACGGAAAAACACGGTAAACTTTTTCCCATCCGAGTTCTCGCTCTGGTATTATGTTCGGCGGGGCCAGCCGCATATCATCGGGGAATTAAAAATATTCCGCGCTACGTACAACGATATTTCCGTGGCGGCCGTCGAGCGGCTCCACTCTGAGGCAGACTTCTTTCATTAGTCGCTCCTCTGACGGCGAAATGATGGCGAAGATGTGTCTAAGTTTCTCTTATCCTTCTCGCTAAACTTCAATACCGGCGAATAAGGGATCCGAGTTTTTTCCATGATGACATTCGTTCGGGAGTGAGGAACGAACTAGAGTTGAATGCATGCATTCGTTGGAACAAGCATCTCGGCGAGTGTTAGCCGAACCCAGTGTAGCTACCTACCGAGCGAAAAGTGGAATTTCCGTGAGCGCTCGTATGTTTGGATATTCCCGCGGACGGCGGAGCGGCCAGGAAAGCCTGCGACCGAACAGCTGATGACTCCCGCGGAAGTTTGAACTCGTTCTGCGGATGATCCTGGATCGGCCCCTCGGACGCAGCCACTCGTCTCGCAGCTAAATCTTTTCCCCTGCTATGGCTGTTGACTCTCCCACGGACACTGCTGAGTGTGTATTCGGAAAACGTTCGTGGAAGAGCCCAGCAGGCTGTCGATTCGATTTTCCGGCCTCGTTTTCCGCGGGGCCCTCACTCGATAGATTTCGCTGGCAGCTCTCCCAGGATGTGGTCCGTTGAGGCCTTCTGTGCCTCATCGAGGAAGCGGTTCATGGAATCGACCGACAACTTTCTCGGTGACATATCTCTCAAGCCTATAGGCACAATCCCGTAGGCACAAAAGCTTTGCTCTCTGGCTGTTGTGCTGTTTGCTCATCGAGCGACGCGTTGACATGCAGAAGCTTTTCGGGGGAAAAGTCGATGCTCACAATTATCGGAAGCGACGGTCGCTCCCCTAGGTGTTAGGCAACCAGCTTCGTGTGTTCTGATGCCACGAACCCGAAAGTTTCCACGTTCTTTAGATCTTCTGTTTCAAAATCCCTCCATGTTGAGGAGCGCTGAGTCGGCCACCGCTGCGAGATCTGACACCAAACTTCTGCAATTCTTTCCGATCAATGATATTTCTCTTCTTCTCTTCATTTCATCCCAAGTTCAAACTCTCAACATTTCATGTCATATTCCATATGATGTTCGATCTGGGAAGATTCCGCGCATTCCTACCGTAGGCCACCGACCGAAAATCGGGGGGCGCGTGCTCCTGTCCCCGGGACTGCTCACGAACTTGAAAACAGATCTTCAGGTCTGTCATGGGCAATCAGTAATCACGTATTGGATGATGCGTATATTGGAGAACTGAATCTTCACCTCGAACCTGGGAACGAGCTTGGCGGCTTCTGGGCACCGAAACGAACAGCGGATAGGATCGCGGGCGAAACGATGAAGTCCTACGAATCCGTTCGGACGAGCTGTTGACTCGCCTCGGAATTCGGTAGACAGTAGAAGGGCACCGTCTAGATTCTTGTGTTTTGCATGAAGCCTCACGGAGATGAGTGCCGCGGGTTCGGTTGCTTTTCTGTTATCCAATCTAGTTAAGTTGTTTTTGTGTGGCCTGCTTAATCCTCTTTCCGCTCTGCATGCTTGATTCACTACAGTGGCGCATACGGAGGTGGGGAAAAAAGCTGGGAGATGAGACAAAAAACGAAGCTGCCCGCCGGCCTGCTGTCGGAACCACGCGTTGGAAACACCCGATAACAGAACAAGTCTATTGGGTTCTATTCCGGGACCTATTGGGAAGCTCCGCGTGCTAATCTCCAGCCTGGATTACGAACAGTGCGTTGCGACTCGTCGTCGACCCGTTGACAAGAAACTTGTCGGAAGCAATCAAATCCCCTCCTGCGTTGCCCCCCCCCCCTTTCCATTGGCAACCCTTTCCCGCCCCGGGAGCTGCTCCCTGCAGGATTTCAACACTCGTTGTTTCGTTCCTCGCACCTCCGAGAATCATTCCCAGCCACGAGCAATCACAACTCCGTAGAGCTCATCACATTGAGGAGAATAAGCTCCGAGATTTCTTTCGTCTCAGAGCTTCATCCAAGGCTCGTGAGGACGAGCGATTCAAAGGAGTCGAAGATTTGTATCGATTCAACGTCGGTATCGCGGGCTCTGAGTCTCACTTAGTCGAACGGATGGCCGCGCTTCGCGTTCCCCCCTCTGTGACACGTTCCTGTCATTCCGGTCGAGCTGTGCTCCTGCAGCAGTAGTCCATATTTCACTAGGCGGCATCATCTGACACTCGTCACAATTCCAAAGCGGGAAACATCGATCACGCTTTCATTTGAGCCTGGATACATTTCACGTACATGTCTGAGCTTGCATACGTATGTGTTGGCGCGTTCAAGCTTCTTCGTCTGTGTGCGTTCGCGAGCTTCCCGAGGCTGGGTTCGAGTCCGTCACAATGCAGCCTTGGGCCATTCCGTGTCGGTGACACGACGTGATCCACGATGTCGGCGGCGGTGAAGACGACGACGACGACGACGATGATGATGACGACTTCTCTGACAACTTCTAGCAGATCCCGGGGCGGGAGCTATGAAGTTGGAATTCCTGAAAGTGCGACGGATTAAGTCGCGGAATAGGCTTCGTAGAAAGCGCACTTTAGGGTCTTCTGAAGAAGTGGCCGTATACTTGCACAGTGGCCGTCATCCCCTAAAACATGACACCTGTATAGCACAATGTATGAGTTTCCTTTATGGCTTCTCCGAATGAGGCTGTTGCTGCCCCTGTCGGCGCGGCGCCTGATGGCTTGGGCGCGAATTCCGCTATCTCTATTCCCGAGCTCCGGAAGTCTGAGAGACAAGGTTTTTCAGACTTTCGGATGAATCGTGGTGGTCATGATGGATCCGAGGTTGATCTCATAGAGGAACTTTCGAAACATCCCCCCAAACCTGTCAGATTGACTAGCGCTTCCGTTCGATCTTGTTATACATACATCAGGATATTGTCTGTGAGGGAGAAAGGAGGCTTAGCCGGCCAGCGGATAATGGCCGGATCCACACGGTCAGAGGAGGGAATTTTTCGCGGGACTACTTCCTCGCCGACGAAGGACGCGGAATATCTCATTGAAATTCGAGTAGTCTCGTTTATTCACGGACTATTCAGCAGACTCATCGGCGCGCGTCCTATCATCAAAAGTTTACGAGAGACCCACTCTCTTTTCCTTGTTGAACTTGCAGCTTTATAGAACGAATGTAAGTGTATGAACAAATGGCTCTTGGCATGCATGTCAGGCACTGCCCTGACCTTGGGATGCTCATCCCGAAGCGAAGACCGGATGATGTTCAGGAATAATTGATATCTGATTCCGTAG